GCAGGATATCGATGGCCAAATAAGGCTTTGCTGCTGAAGATGGGAGTGGAATGTGACTGGGTTCTGAGCCTCCGGCCCCTGCCTGGGCTGCCAAGCAGATTAGGAGCTTTTTTTAAAAGGATGTTGGAGCCCGAATGAGGAACACAGTGGTGGGATTGCTAAAACGGGCCGGGAGAGGCAGCCAGGCAGCTTCTCAGATGTTTGCTAAGCACCCACTGGGCTCAGGGCCCTGGGCTGGGAGCTGGGGGTGCAGGGATGGAAAACAGCCCCCGCCGCACTCTGGCCTTTGAAGAGCTGACGACTTCCTGGGACCACGATGACATTCTCCCACTGTCCTGGCTAGAGGCTGATTGATGTATTAGAGACAGAATCCTGTGAGGCCTTTTGGGGCTTTGCAGGGCTCCAGGCCAGAGGTTCAGGGCTGCCCCTGGGCCATTTCAGAATACAGTCAACTCCAGGCTTTCTCTTATGATGGAGGAGAGGGAGGGATTACCTAGATTCAGTTAAGAGAGAAGAGTCCCCGGCTGGCATTGGAGGAGAAATACAGATAAGACACGATCCCTGACCTCGACATGTCTACAAATCAGCAAGCATGTATTAAGCACCTACTGTGTGCCAGGAACTCTATTAAGCATTGGGAATACAAAGAAAGGCCAAAGGAGTCCCAAAGCTCCCTTGAGGAGCTTACAATCTATTGGGGAGATAACATGCAAACAACAAACTTATGGAGAAGTAACTTAGAGATCTCCAGTAATGGAGGGAAGGCTCTAGAGTTAAGAGGTCTTGGGACAGGCTTCTGGAGAAGGTGGGATTTTAGCTGGGATCGGAAGGAAGTGCAGGCAGCTAGGAGGAAGAAATGGGGAGGGAGAGCGCTCCAGGCAGGGGACAGCCAGGGAGGTCTTCAGTCTTGTGAGAGGAGAAGCTGAGAGGCCAGCGGCCCTGATCAGAGCATCCGTGGTGTAGGAGCTGAGGCTGAAGCACAGGAAGGCTGGGGGTGGGCCAGGCAGTCGGGAAGGGCTTTGAATTCCCACAGGATTTCGTATTTGGTCCTGCAGCGAGAGGGAGTCCCTGGAGTTGACTGAGGGATGGCCAATGACGTGACCTGTGTCATGGATGACCCAGCTTTAGGAAGGCCACTTTGGTGACCGGGTGGAAGCTAGGCGGGCGTGGGGAGAGACTCGGGCAAGCAGACCCCCCCAGTAGCTATCGCAGAGGTGCACAGAAAAGGTGGTGAGGGTCTGCAGAGGGTGGTGTCAGAGGAGAGAAGGGGACAGGTTCAAGAGACCTTGGTGTAATCACCGGGCCTTGGCAACAGATTGAGTGTGGGGGCGGAAGTGAGGTACAGTGAGGATCTGAGGATGTCGTCAGGATTGGGAGGCTGGTGGTACCCTTGACAGTAACAGGGGAGGGCTTGTGGGGAAGGATCATGAGCTCATCATGCCTCTAGGACATCCACTTCTGAGACTTGAAGCTGGAGGCCAGCGGAGAAGTTAGGGCTGTCCAGACAGATCCGAGAGTCATCTCCTAGAGATGGCCATTAAATCCACGAGAGCTGAGGAGCCCACCAAGCGAGGCAGTGTAGAGGGACAAGAGAATAGGGCCCAGGGGGAGACTGAGCAGGTATGGCCTGGTTGAAGAGCCCACACAGGAGTGGTCAGAGAGTGGGGGAGACCCAGGAGGGAGTGGTATCCCAGAGACCCAGAGAGAACAGTCTCTGGGAGGAGGGAGTGATCATCGTCAGTGCCAAAGGCGGTAGAGAGGTCCAGGAGAATGAGGACTGAGAAAAGGCCTTTACGCTGGGCAGTTAAGAGGTCACCAGTAACCTTGGAGAGAGCACGTTCGGTGGACTGATGGGGTTGGAAGCCAGAGTGAGGAGAGTGGAGGGCAGCTATTGTAGATGGCCTGAAAGGAAGGAGATCCAGGGTGTTAGCCAGCAGGAGTGGCTAGATCAGGACGGGGAAGGTGTAGCGAGTGGGATGGTGGAGACTGGAATGGATGCCCTCAGAAGGACCACTCCGTCATGAGCCACGGGCGATGGACAGCTGGCAGAAGGTGCCTGAGCAATAGGAAAGGGGGGGGGAAGAGGGAGCCCTTGGTGAATGGCCGCCATGTTTTCTGTCAGACGTTTGGCAGCTAGGGGGAGTCTTAAGGAGGTTTGGAAAAGCAGCTGTGGAGAAGACTGGGAGAGGGAGTCAGCTGAGGGGCAGCAGGGGTGGTTTTGCTGCAGTCGGACGGGGAGCACCTTCAGAGGAGGGCCGTCTGCTGTGGGTCCTCAGGGCCTGGCACCCTGCCTGGTGCTTGATACTGTGCTGCTGTCCTGCCTGAGAGAGGGCCCATTGGAGATCAGCAAAACAGGGCAGGAAATAGAATGGCAAATGGGAAGAAATGTGGGAACAGTCTGCAAAGATAAGCGGGAGCCAGACGCTGAAGGCCTTTCCATTACGAACAGGCGGCCTGGAGACAATAGGGAGCCTGCGATGCTTCAGGAGCAGGTGAGTGGCATGGTCGGATCTGTGCCTTAGAAATATCGATTTGGGGGGCGGCTAGGTGGCGCAGTGGATGGAGCACCAGCCCTGGAGTCAGGAGGACCTGAGTTCAAATCTGGCCTCAGACACATAACACTTACTAGCTGTGTGACCCTGGGCAAGTCACTTAACCCCACTGCCTAGCCAAAAAAAATCAATTTGGCCATAGAAGAGGGAAGAGAGGGGAGACAGGACAACTAATGGGAAGGCTCTCGCAGCCATCCAGGAGAGAGGCAGTGAAGTCTGAGCTGGGGTGGGGCCGTGGGAGCGAGAGAAGGGGGCCAGTGCTTGATTATGTAACATAAACTGTGATGTGGAGGAAGTACACATTAGTACCATGTTATTAGGATATCAGTGTGGATCAGTATAATGGAGACAGGTGAATAGAGTCCTTGAGAAAGCAGCTGCCTCTGGCCCAGGGGACCAGGAAAGGCTTCCATGTACTTGAGGTGGGCATTGAAGGATTTCATCAGGGCACCCAGAGGGAGGGAAGTATATTAGCAAAAGTAAGGAGAACAGATGCGACCTGTGCAGTTTGGCTGGGCTCTGGAGTGTCCAGAGGGGAATCATGTGAAATGAGGCTGGAAAGGTACATTGGCGAAAGCCCTGACTGCCAAGCTAAGCAGCTGGGCACTTAGCAAGTAGAGATTGCAGGAGAGTCACGAGACCGCGGGAGGCTCAGACCTCCCTGTGAGGACATTCTGCTGGTAGCGCCTACCTCCTGGCTGACCCACTGCCCCTGGGTGCCCACTCTGTGTGCACGTATGCCCGGTACGGCAGAAGAGCCGTACCCTTTGGTGCGTCCTTGCTGTGTGACCCTTGCCAAGTCACCACACCTCTCTGTGCCTTACCCATCAGATATATGGGCCGTTGAGGGGCGCTACCTCCCTTTCTCAGGCTGCTTGTGCCAGCATGCAGACCGTGGGGCAGCTGATGGAGCAGTGGGTGGAGCACTGAGCCTGGAGTCAGGGAGACCCAGCCTTTTCAGGTGTGTAGAGTTCCTAGCTGGGCAAGTGACATCACCTTAGCCTGCCTCAGTTTCCTCAGCTGTAAAGGGAGGTCCTGAACGCCCCTGCCTCCAAAGTGTGTTGTGAGGGTGCGATGAGATGATGACTGTGAGTACTCAGCACAGGGTCTGGCACATAGTATGCTTACATAAAGCGGGATGGGCACTTACCCCCTCCCCTGGCCCGCCGTCCTCATCCTGACTCCCCCCAGCGAGCCACTCTCTGCAGCTCAGATATCGCCACATTGTCCTCCGTCACCCCGGATGTAAGGAGGAAGTTTTAAATCCTTTTTTAAAAAAGTATTTTTTCCTTATGGCCGTGAACCGTCATCAAACTAACTTTTCCCTGTATAGAGTACAGGGCAAAAAGCACGTATGTTAAGTGGATAAGTGTGCCTAGCACAGCGGTGTCCCTCACACTCCCCACGTCAGTCCCTGCACTGCCCCGCTTGTCGTGTTCTCTTCTGAATGGCTTTCTTCTCTCGTCTATGTGTTTATAGCTGTTTCACTGGTAGCTTGTCGTAATTTGGGGGAGCATCACTGCCACCCCCTATAATATTACCAGCTCCCCCGAAGGAAAGCTGTCCCCTGGAACGTCCCTACAGTCAAGCAGACCAGCTCTGAACAGTATTGGCTGTGTGTAAAACGGTGTGCCTCATTCCATAGCAAGACCTTTGTAGGTCTGCCAGGTGGTGGGTGACATGGCTTTGTCACTGCTCTTCTGGAATCAATCTGATTCTTCAGTCTTTCCAAGTTGGTATATTTTTTAAAATATTTTTTTCTTTTTTTAACAGTCACATACCTTCAAGTTGTTTTATTGACAGTGTTGAAGTCATTGTATAACTCATTCTTTGGCTTGCTTCACTCCGCCTCAGTTCTTACAAGTCTTCCCAGGGATCCATGTAAAATCCATCTGCGCTATATGAAGATTGGGGAAGGGCACCCCTAAGAAAAGCACGGTGTCTGTGCTGCTCCGTTAGGAATGGCCAGTGTAAAGACTGCAGGGAAGATGTGTCTGGAGAGATGCCAGGGGAAGGAAGCCAAGCCAAGGGCAGATGTGGTCCCAGAGTGGGCACCAGCAGTCACCCGGCCGGGCTCCGAGGGTCAGAGGCTAGCATGAGCTTCTGGCAGCCGTCAGCGGGCTTTCCGTTCCAGACATTGCTGGGAGGATTTGGGTCTTTGTTGGGAAGGGTCTAGTGTATCGGAACAAAGCATTTCTTAAAATCTCGTCTTCAGTCTTCATCTAAGCCCTAAAGTGTTAAAATGACACCTGAAGAAGCAATAAAACCCGAGTTCATGACATTGCAGCCGGGGGAGGGGGGGGACGATGAGTCGTTTGGGTTGGCCTGGGCTCTCTGGGTCATGGGTCATCGAGGGCACTCCAGGCAGAGCTTGGAGCTGGTTTTTCACTCTTCAGGTCCGATTCTAAGACAGCGCAGACACCACCCGTTTGTTGTCTCTCCCCACAGGGCATTCGCTTCGATCCTGAAATTCCCCAGACGCTGCGACTAGAGTTTGCCAAGGCGAACACAAAGATGGCAAAGAACAAACTCGTCGGGACCCCGAACCCCAGCACTCCTTTGCCCAGTACCGCCCCCCAGCTCATCGCCAGGGAGCCGTGTAAGTTGTGAGGCACCCGCGTGTGCGCTCGTGTACACCACCCCCCCACGCCTCCACTGTGACCTGGTGACGTACTGAGTGACAGTTAATTCAGTGCTCATCCATTGTGGAGCTGACCCTGGGCTACCGAAGCCAGGCTGGTGGTGGGTCAGTTCTGGCACCATCCCAGGGCAGACGGGATCTGCTGCCCGAGGGCTAGCCCACAGCTCAGGCTGCAGGGCCTCAGCCCCAGGAGGTGGGCCACGGGGCCGTACTTTCCTTAGCAGTAGCCGCCTACGAAGCAGAAAGAACCTGTTAACTGTGGTGTGTTTGGATAGGGAGAGTGGGGGGGCAGGGCCTGCTGGAGGGATTGCCAGACGCTGTATGCAGAGGTCTTGAAAGTTGACATGACAGTGACCAGGAAGATGAAATCTCCCTGGCCACCCATAAGCCCCGCCGCCCGTGGTCTATTCCCTTGGAGGCGTGACCCCTTTGGCCATCAGTAGAGTCTGCGTTTTGTTCCACAGCCCCTCGGGATCCCGCAGGGCTAGCTGTCAGTGTGTCCTTCCATTTGGGGAGGATGCTAGCCATTAGTATTGCCAGCTCAGGAAATGCCTGGTTTAGACTGGACAGTCTTAGAGAGATGGGCGCCTTCTCTGAAAATAGCTGCCGTGGCCCACGAGCTCAGGAGACGTGGACACAGGGGCTCCCAGAAGGAGCCCTGATGCTCCTCAGTGACGTCCGCCGTGGGGGCGGCGGGGGCGGAGTCCAGGGCCCTCCGTGGCGTCTTTCCAGACCTTGGCCAGGGACTCTGGTGGCCTAGCTCCCAAAGAAGGGGCTGTCGTAACGGACAGGAGCTGACGCTGACCTGGTGTAGCAGGGTTTGTGGGGGCTTTGAGGTCAGATGTTCAGGCTCTGTTGTCCCCGTTTTACAGATGACCAAATCGATGCTCAGAGGAGTCGAGCGGCTGACCACAGGTCACACAGCTAGCTGGTCGCTGGCAGAATGAGCGTCAGAGCCTGAGTGTTGCCAAGTCTCCTTCCCTCTCCTTCTCCAGCTCATTCCCTGGGTGCAGGGTACAGGGAGGGGTCCTGCACCATAATGCTCCCTTTTCTCCTCGTATCGTAGCATGGCTTTGAGTACAGCCAGGTCCCCCTTGGTGCAAATGAGAACTTTCGTCAAGTGGTCACACGTCTTTGAAGTTGGGATTAGGTAAAACATGGTCATTGGTTGAAGTCCAGATTTGAGTAATGGGACTGCTACGTGGGATTGGAGTGGGCCCTAGGTGTCCCCCCATACGTCTTTCTTCCACTTGTCCCTTGAGCTTCTTTCAGGGGCCAGGCTTGGGAATCGAGCCCCAGATCCTTCCCTCCCGGCCTCACGTCTTCTCTTCTCCCTCCTCCTCTGCCACTGGCCGGCCTGCTGTCAGTGCCGCTAGGATCTCTTCCTGTACAGTGAGGATGAGGGGCAAGATGATCCCAAAGGCCCCCATCTTCCACGTTCCTTTGAAGACAGAGGAGCAGCCAGTCCTGGCAGCTGGTCAAGCTGTTGGCCGTCTTGTGCCTGGGCTCCTCACCGCCTCCACCGTCACACCACTGTAGGGGGTGGCCGCCAGGGGGTTTCCTGTTCCCCCGATGCCCTCTTGTGTTCTTACCATCAGTCTTCCCCTGTGGCTGCCCTGCCTGGGGTCCTGGCCTGGCGTCCCTTGGGGGTGTGCAGCAGGGCTTCAGTCACCTTGGTGTAAGGAAGAGAGAGCTCAGCTCCTCCCAGACTGAATGGAAGGGGGTGGGGGCAGTGCCACAGAGGGGTGGTCAGGAAGTCGTGGCCTTCCCTGGATCTTTACTTCCCAGGCCAGTGGGAGGAGTGAGGACACTGGGACTCGGGAGCATCTTCAGAGAATGGCCAGCGGCCTCGAGTCGTCATTAGGAGAGTCAGGTCAGGGACGTGGCCACGTCGAGGCCAGAGAAGACGCTGCCGCCGTCCTGGGGCATCGCTGCTTCCTTGGGCCATCTTCGTGCTTTTTTATGGTTTGTGTTAGATGCGCTATCAAGAGAGAATATCTTTACAGCCTGCAGCGGAGCCTGGCGCATAGTAGGGCCTGATCAGTGTCTGTTCCTGTTCCCCTTCTCTGTCCCAGTCTCCTCGATCACAGACGCCAAGTCCCCAGGGCCTCCAGTGCTGTCTAGTCGAACCCCTTCCTTTTCTGTATGAGGAACTGAGGTGCAGGAGGGTTGTGTGAGCTGGCCAAGGTCACACAGCGAGTGGCAGGATTTGAACTCTCTGGCTTGGAGTCAGTGGCTTCTGGAAATGCCTTCCTTGTTCTGCCCGGCCCCAGAGGGCAGAGCTAGGGGTGGCCATGGCGGGAATGACAAGCAAACAGACTGCAGCTCCAGGCAGGGGAACCGTTCCTACCAGTGAGAGCCGTCCACGGCTGGTCAGCCACTTGGCCAAGGTGCTGGAGAAAGGACCGTGGGCAGGGCCGGGGGAGATGAGCTGGCCCCTCCCCGACCTCTTCTCCCCTTGGCATGCTGGGGTTCCCGAGTCTCCAGATCTGTCTCCTCTGGGATTCGGCCGGCATCACCAAGAGTCTCCTGAATGCCGCCGCTGCCGAGGGAATGAACGTGGCAGACCAAGCCACCTGAGTGGGCAGAGCGGACGGGCTCACCGGGCTGAAGGAACACTGTCAACCCGAGGACTCAACATGAGGACAGCTGGTGTGCTTTCTGCCTTGTCCCCAGAATCAGAGAGAGCGAAGAGCCTGGAGACAACCTGGCCCTGCCTCCGGGGATCCGAGAAGGGGTGCTGAGTGTTTGCCGAGTCCCCAGGTCCAGAAGGAGGGCGCCCCTCTCTGTCTTCCCCCAGTGCCTGTTTGGGAGGTGCTCAGAACCTTGGACAACTCTGGAGTCTTCTTGGCTAGAAGCAGCTCTAGGCATGGGGTTCCCATCTAGGAGAGGCCTGGGCCACAGCCCCCAGAGATCAGGCAGGACTACAGGCACTGTAGTCCAGAAGGAGGCTCAAGTGTTTTGTTCTTGGACTCCGTAACAGAAAACACATGCTGACCAGTAATGGCCTCCATCGCCATCCCTCGTCAGCTCCTCCAGAAACTGTGACTCTAAATGTGTAGATTCCCTTGGTTAGGCATAGAGGCAGGTGAGCTTTGGGTTTGGAGTCAGAGAACCTGGCTCCCATCCTTCAGGCCCCGGTTTTTCTATGTGTGAAAGGAGAGAGTTCGCCCAGATGGCCTTGAAGGCAAGACTCAGAGCCAGGATTCTTCCATCAAAGTCCAGCTGTCCTCCCTTCCCCACACCCCCACACTGTGTTGCCTTAAATCAGCGTTTGTTTGTTTTTTAAGGGTTTTGGTGGCTTTTATGTTTGCTAGCAACAGAACCACAATGCATCTAGCTTTTCTCCACCTGCAGCGTCAGATGCCCTAATGGGAAGTTTCATTTCTGAATGACTCCTCCATTTGGAATGCCATCTGAGTTGGGATAAGTGTTATTTACAGTTCTAGCATTTTCCTACTAAGGAGGTTCATACTTCTTCCCAGTAACTTCATAATAAAACAGATATCATTTAATATTATCGAGGACACCACAAATGTCAGTTCAGTGTCTAGGGAAATGGGGAAGAATGTTATTTGAGAACAGGCAGAATGCTGTCCACCAGAACTCACAGAGGCAGGCGATGCCGTGGTTTCAGAAATGACTTCTTTGGCATTTCCTGGATCTCACCTGACGTTCCTGTCACTCTTCCCTCAGTGAGGCTGCAGGTCGCCTGTGCCTGCTCATGCTCGGCCGTTCTTGCCTGCATCCTTCCAGAAACCCTCCACTGTGAATCTGCTCAACGCGTTTGGGACCTTCCTCTGGTCCTTTTCACAGAGCAGGTGGTCTTGTTACCCCTCCCTCTTCATGACATTCTAAGTTTGGGGCTGCTATGTGGCACGATTAAACTTGGTCTGAAAGGACCTGGGTTTGAATCATGCCTCAGACATGAGGCTGTAGGGCAAGGGATTCCAAGCAAGTCAGTTAACCTCTCTCAGCCTCAGTTTCCTCATCTGCAGAATGACATGATTGGATTCCATGGCCTTTAGGGTCCCTTCTAGTTCCAAATCTGTGAGGCTTTGATGGCCCCATGCACTTTTATGAATGAAACTGCTACAGGAACGGGGAAATGCTACAGCAGGCGTTGCTGAGAGCGCGTCCTTTCAGGAACGCACAGAAATGCAGCTTGCCTCATAGGAGAGGTGAGACACTTCTCTCTGTTGTCCTCCTGCATCAGGAGAATGGGTATGTAGACAATAGAAAGAAAAGCTACACATAAAACACAACAGAAGTAAAGACTTGTCATTGTCAAGCTTATCCCTTCCTGCTTATGCTTCACACGACCTTCCTGACAAAAGGCCATAGCCCAGTGTGAGCTCTGAATTGGGAGATGACTAGCACTGGCCAGGTGCAGGGCATCCAAGCAGTTGTAGGAAGAGAACTCATGCAAGGTCCAGTGTTTAGAGCATTGAATTGGATAGCTCTTTTTCCTGTGGTCACAGGTGTGTGATCTCAGTCCACTTCGTCTCTCCAGGCCCTGTCTCATTTCCTTGTGTGTAAAAATAAAGAGGCTGGGCTAAATGATCTCTAAGGCCCATTCTGGCTCCAAGTCCTGATCAGGGTTAGGGTTAGGGTTAGGGTTAGGGTTAGGGTTAGGGTTAGCTTAGGAAAATGTTCGTCAAGAAGATGGTCATCCCCCCCCCAAAAAAAAGAAGAAGATGGTCATCCAACTATTTCTTCACTGCTCCCTGTATGTTCACTTTCTGATCTAGAACAGACTCTCTGGACCACATCCCTCTCTACTTCAGGAATAGTGTGCTCATTCATCTCAGCCCCATCTCAGACTGTCCGCCAGATCTCAGGATCAGCCTGGCGTGTCCTTGTGGTTTCAGTTTCCTCTCCTCTCCTCAGGACTCTGACTTTGGTTCGACATGATCCAGGGGCTCCTCTACCTCCCCCAGCCCCGCCTAGGACTGAGC